TGTGTCTTTAAAAAATAAATAAAAATCTTGAAATTTTTCCCCAAAATCCTCTTTTTGGGAAATTTAAATCCCCATGTGTGACACCTGTGTGACACCATATGTGACACTTGTCTTGCCGCAGTACGGTGAGGTGGACTGCTGGCCCATGGAGTGCCCGCCCACGTCCTGCGCGTCGCCGGTGCTGGCCGAGGGCGACTGCTGCCCGCGCTGCGAGGACGATCAGGACGCGCCCTGCTCGCTGGACGGCGCCGCGGACAACGGGACGGCGGCGGGACAGGCTCCCTGTTCGCTGGCTGGACAGCAGGCCGGACAGCTGTACGAGCCTGGGGCCTCCTGGACCTGGAGCGACAAGTGCGCTGCCTGCAACTGCAAAGTGAGTGCGTCAACAGCGGACTATGTGACCGAGTGTTAATCTACCCCCTGAATTTTCATAATAACTTAACTACCGAATGTCTTGATAACTTTATAGTCGCATGGGCGAGTGAACCGTTGGTGTGTGGTTGGTTCTAAAGCTGACACCACTGTATAGGTGCTTTTTAGGGAATAACGCCTCTAACTTGGATACCCCATCCCCATCCAGTTCTTCAAAAATGATTTAGAGTAGTGTCTGTGTAACTAACGCATGTGGCTGATGTTGGTTTCCAGGTTCCCTACTGCGCCCAACTGGTGAGCTCTAGCGCAGGTTGTGATGTGCATCGGTAAATCACCTCAACTACACTTTTCTCTTAGTCCACCACGCGTATCCGAGCCATGCGAAAGGCAGCTTCTCACATTTATGTTTAGTGTGTTTTTTTCTCTCATTCATTCATTCATTGTATAACGCCAGAAAAATGAAATAATATGCAAGGTTTTTAAATCACCTTGGTATGCACCGCTCGGGTACGCTCGGTGGCACCACGGCACTGTTTGATATTATTCCAATATTGCACGGTTACGACCTCTGGTATTTGTTCGTTAAGGTTGTTTCTCAGTTTGGTCTGTTTTGGGACTTCCCTACACAACAGCTCAATTCTCAGAGACACTTCTCGAACAAAAACGGGGTCGTTCTAGAAAATGTTAGATTATTGGGTGGTGGTTGGCTTCTTTTCCTGCCCAAGGAAAGGGTTCTATCTGGGATTTCATGGTTTCTAAATTTTGTGTCGCATATACGGCATTCAGAGAATTCCACTAGGTAGGTTGGATCCTAAAAACGAATTTTCACGATTTGGACTTTTTGTATGAGCACACTTCCTCTTTTACATGGATATTATATGGATTCTCTTGCTATGACTTAGTTTGTATCGATTATCACACTTTTAACAACGAGTATGTGTGCTGTGCACTAAGACCACTTAGTTTCACTGATTGCATGTTTGTGGATTTTACCTATAGATGGGTAGTGTGAAGAGGCTGCAATTTTGCCTTGTTTTTTCAGTCTCACTTTAAAATTCGCACAAAAATTCAAAGCCACGGGAATTCCCTCTATCAATGTTTTGCACACATTGTTGTTGGTTTTCTTTTTTTTTTTCAAAAAACAAATATTTGAATGCCTGGCCAAATGATGCATGTCGTTTCTAGTGTGTATAAAGGGTGCGGGTGTTGAGCGCGTTGACTTACTTCCGCCCCGGGTGGAGCTCCGTCGGGCGCATGCCCCCCGGAGCCCCCCTCCACCAGGGCCCCAGGGAGCTAACGAGCGTGTGTGTCCACAGGACGGACGTCTATGCTGCAGTCTTGATTACGGTTGTGTTGCTGACGTTGGCCCAGCCGCTGACCGACCCGCTGCGGGGCTCCCACTGGACTCTGCCCTCGCCACCACCGCTGCCGCCAACGGCGGCACCCTCTCCGCCCCCAACAACGACACCGCCCCCTCGCCCACGCCCCCGCCCCCGGGCGCCGCGGTCTCCACTCCCGCAGGCGTCGTCGGAGCACCGCAAGCGACGCTTCGGCCGGTTAGACTCGGTGGTGCGAGCCGAGAGCATAAGACTGAGTCCACGCGGCCCGCCCGCCCAGTCACACGGGCCGCCCCCGCCACCGTCACCGCTCCCCACGTCGACGCCGACACAACCGTCGTGGCCAGCTCCACCCCGGCGTCCTTCCCCAAGCCCACGGCCTTCCCCGTGCCCGCCCCCGCCGAGGCCGGGTAGACACGCCACCTGATAGGGGAGGGCGTGGGCCCTGTGGCCTGTGGGCCGAGGCCTGCCCGTTCAAGGACTCTGGGAGTCTCCAGGAGAACCAGGGGCCTGACTCGAATCATCACTGTGTTCAGCTAGTACTTCCATTTCCACCGGCAAGTTCAACAAATATTTAATAAAAGCGACGGACCTTCCGCCCCCCTCGTTCCTTTTTATTTAGAGGGTCAAAGATTTTGATAAGAGCAGTGATCCACACGCAATTTCTTTGGTTTGAAAGAAACACGTGAATTTTAATTGCATCTCACTGATAGTAAAATTGATCGATTTCACAAAAACTTAGCAAGTTTTCAGAAACTTTGAAATGTGTTTGATAATGGATTGGGAAAATTATATCAAATAGTTAAACTGAAAAAATCTCAATATCAAAATGGATTTCTTTGACTTTTATTAAAAAATCATTTTGATTTTCCACTTATTGGGTAATGTACTTATCAATTATACTTAATTCGGAGAGAAAGCTTTAAAACTAGGATTATCCAATTTTAAATTTCTTGCTTGCAACAGGTGGGGACAGTTATATCCTGCTCCCGTTTTGGACTGAGAGTGTTAAAAGTGAACTGACAATACTGTATACTATACAAAACTGACGCTCAACATGATCAATGTTTAGATTTAAGAACAGCAGAACCTTTGTGTGGCTTGATGCTGTGGATAAGAGACTTACTTTGATATGAAATGCAGAATTATTCAAGGGCAAGACAGCACAGCCAAATTTGGTCTCTCGTAATCCACCAACTGTCCTGTCTTCTTCGGGATCTATCTCTAATTGTCACATGTCAAATTCAAAAGGATTATTGTGTTTGGTTTAACAAGTTTATCTTGATCATGTGTGCAAAACTAGTCATTCCAGTTAAGAGGAATATATGAATGTAATAAAGACATGTGAATTGATTTTATAAATTATTGGGCCCTGTCTTAAGTATTTTCAATTCAGCTTTGTTGGTGATGGTACAGTCTAATGAATCTTTTTATAAGTCAGAAGAATGTGCTAATAAAAGAAATTATAGGGAAAAATCATTTGGAAACAAAAGAGTGTCTTGTGTTTCACACCAGTGATATGGTACCATAATTAGTAATTTTAAAATTCTACTGTACTATATTAAATGCGCTAGTCACATACAAAAATAAGAAAAATGGTAAAAAATAAAATTTGGTAATAACTCAATTCTTATTGAGCAAGTTCCTACTAAGAAATAGTTGCAGTAGCTTAAGGTACATGTTTGGAAATTTCTCTCTTGATAATGAAATGATGGCTGCTATAATTGCATGGTATAACAAACTAATATTGACAATCACACTTTGAAAATGTAACTATCATGTAAATTTCCTTAAATTTATCAGTATGCTTGTTATTTAAAGCGTTCCTTTCCACCTTCTGTATACAAATTTCTACTGTTACTTCCAATATATACTCAGCTTCCTATAAAGGTTTGCCAGGGTATCTCTTGCCCTTTTAACCACTGGGACAAAACAAGAGGCAACAATTAAGTTTGCACATCAAACTGAATACGCCAAGGAGAATTTCACACTCTGTTCATTTATGAAATTTCCCATCCAAAGTAAAGACTTTTTTGTGTATCACCCTATTTTTGTGTTGGCCCTGGTAGACTGTTGTTAACATTGTGATCATTGAGGATTGTACTGATAGCACAAATAACATGAAGCAGGCAGTTGAATTTGCAGCCGAGATAATTATGTTCTTATCAGATTGAAAGGCAATAATGAAACATAAATAATAATCAAATGTGATGGGTATGGTGCGCTAGTATGACTATTATCAGTAGAGTACAAGCATCATGCATGCTCTTGCTAGTCCTATATTAAATTTTTCACTTGTTTCTTATGAAATTTACAGATGGACTGTAATAGTGTCACACTATATAGCAATTTTTTTGTATTGGAGAGTAAACACAGCACATATTTCTACAGTGTCTGGCATATTTCTGTGCTAAAGCGTAGCGCATTTTAAACTGGGAGGGAGGTATATAAAACTAATCAGAACTGAAACAACTATCTAAGTTTCTGATCACTGAAGATCTAGGGTCCATTCACCGATGCAAGTCATAATGTAATGTACAGCAATGTACATACGTATTTTGATACTCATGGAAGGTTAACTTCAAAAATATCTGAACTATGTCTTTGTCAATATGTGCATTTATGTGATAAAGCAAAATGTATGTATATTCCACTGGTTAAGCTTACTCGGCTAACTTCAACAATTTGTAACAGTATATCAATGAGTGTACCCTTTTGTTGATTTATCTTTTGCTAGTCCCCATAATCTTTGCTGTGTACTGCATCTTGTTGATCTGTCATATCCTCCAAAGTGGCATTGTTATATATGAAAATTACGCAGATGTTCATCTATAATCTTCAGAGAAATCAGGCTCCTTAAATACACATGTTGAGTTAAAACAAACTTTTGTGAAGGTGATCCATTTTAACTTTATACCGCAGGACAGACCTAAATCACCATATGCTAGTGATGCAGCACAATAGAGCAAGAACTGTACATCAGGTGGAGGCACATATGTTGTCAGTTAAGTCTCGGCAGAGGGTTGGCAAGTGTTCAGGAGAGCCAGTAGAAAAAACATGACGTATTCGCTTGGCAGCATGGAAAGCAAATTTCTCACTTCGACAGTGTTCGTAAATTTGCCCAGTTGTAGAAAACAAAGTATGTACTAAATCTGAAGACTCCAGGTACCAAGTTCTCAGTAACTACATCATAGATGTAGGGTTCAGACTTTTAATACCATTCAAGTAATTTACAATACAATCCACTGCAGATCATCTTAGAAGTTCAGGCAGGCAATTATAGAGAATTATGACTAACAACCATCGTTCCATAGTTACGGAATTTCCACCACAAGAAACTGTGGTTACTGCTTAAGTATCAATCCTCACAAAATCTTACTTCTACTATTTACAAATCTCCAGAATTGACACAGCAAGTTAGTACAGGCTACAAGGGTTTAAGGATAATGCTAAATAATGGAAAGAAATAAAAATGTATAAAATAACTACACCCAACAGCTTTCATAAAATGAGTATAAAACCATTTAATTTTTTTAAAATGGGAAGACAATGCCGCCTTCTAATAAATTACATAATTTTCTTTACAGAAACATCACATTTAAAAAGATATTTCACTTTCAGAATAAAGGTCTGAACCAATCCTAATATTAAGTCGTCTCCATTTTACCAGCTCTTGATCAAGCCTGGGACCTCATTAACATAGCTAACATTGATTGAGATCATGCCATGTGGAAAATACAAATATCAATATCAAGTGCAGAATAAGTCCAGAATTGATAGAATGGGTTAATGGTCAATGCACAAAATTTACAAACTGTCATGTGATTTTTAAAAATACATTACAAAAGATCAAGGCACTCGGAAATTTAAAGAGGCGCACATGCACCAACTAATGGAAAATTAATTATGTCAAACTTACATTAAACTCAGTCTAGCTTCAGTAACTGAGGGATGGATTTAACTTTACAGAGAACACTTAACATGAGACATTATCACACACAATTTAGAAAACTGTCAGAAAATCAACAAACACACATACATACATGACTAAAAATTATTAGAATGGGCTGATGCCTTGCGCAATGGATTTCAAAGTTTCTGAACTCAACTCTTGTCGCAGGGAGACTTTCATCATTTTGGAGCTGGAATATTTCTTTCTGACAGCCTGCAAAGAGCAAATAGTATCAATCAGCTGCACCAACAATTTTGATATCTTCAAAAGTTGTTATTGTTGGAAGTGTCCATACACGGCTAATGCCCTTAGACCAATTGTACAGTTTAAAAAATAAAATAAAATGACATACCTCAAACTTTGAAGTTGAAGCCTTTTCAATCACAGCAGCCAGTGTTTGAGCAACGGGTTTAATATCAGTCAGTGTGTAGGAAGAGTAATGGACCATTTTGGCATCCCAGTGGTCAGGTCCCTTCTTGTCATTCAATTCATAAAGGCTAAAAATAGAAAGAAAGTTAGTATAGTTAAATGTACATGACTCAATGAAAAGCGTTCAAATAATTCAAAAGTTGATGATGAATCCAACTCACCAAAGCGAGATATAAAGGGCAGCTGCAGCAGTCAGTGATGGCCTTACATGACAAAGTGAGTACTCCAACATTGCAAGCTCCAAGAAGTACTTTGAGAAGCAATGATGCATAGGGTGAGCCTACACAAAATTCAATTTACTTAGTAAAAATAAGTACATAAAATTAGGAGAAAGGTTAAATGCTTCATTACCTCGACAACTTTACTATAGCGCCTCAAAAAAGTAAGAGAGATGGGTCGTGAAAATTGAAATTCCAAAGCTTTCACAATCTGAACTTCCATGGCTAAAAGCTGCTGTTTTGTATAGGCACTATCAGTAATGAACACAAAATCACTTATATCTGGCATGTAAACCTCTTCATATTTGCTGGCCACATACATAGCAGCTACACCCACTAACTGAAGATACTTCTTTGCTACATTAGGTACAGCCTAAAACAAACATGAAATAAGTGCAACTGTTCAAGTTTGACCCAACAGCACAAAACTTTCTATTTACCTGCAGGTATCTATCTAAAATCTGAACAGCTAGATAAAGTGTCTCCTGGAGCAAATGGTATTGTAATTGAACATCAACAAGCCAGTCTACTAAGACTGTACGCATACGAGGGGCAACTTGCTGACCTTCCAAAAAGTTTTCCTTGATTGGAAATTTGTCCTGCAGAAAAAAATAAAATTATAGTTCCAACAGAAAAGCAATAATGTTGACCCATTAGAACTAGACTTACTTCAAGAGATAAAAGATACTCGTAAATTTCAAAAGCATAGTTAGCGACCAACAAGGGATTACTTTCATCAGCCTTATCAACGTCTTCAAAGTCATGGGTTTTGGCTGTGGCAGGTTCAGCTTCTGGAATCAATCACTCCATGAGACAAGATCATGATCGATCATGATAATCTTTGACACAGGAAAACTACAACATACCTTCAACAGCTTCAGCTCTGTGTGAAGTCAGTACAACAGATGCCACTGAAGTGTTGCTGAATGTCCGTTTCACTCTGTTTGTCACATTAATTTTAGGGAGAGGCTTCACAAAATCTTCTTTAGGAGCCTTAACTGTTGTAATACTCCTTACTGACGCAGATCGTTGAACAGGTTTAACAATATCTCTGAAGAACAACGAAACAGTTAAGCTTGGTAGGATAGCTGACACTTAAGAATGCAACCATACATACTTTGTTAGTGCTCCCGGCTTTGTTGTTACAGTAGAGTTGGAGCGCGACACTACTTTATTACCAATCTCTCCCAAAGCAGAGCGCTTAACCCCAAGGGTGTTGGCTGTAACTGCTTTCTTGGTTCGAACGACATTTCCTCCCAAATTCTCGGAATTACCCTGCAAAAAGCAACTTCGTACAAGTCCCCAAACCCACATACAACACCACACGTATGGTACTTAAAGTGTGGAATGAGATTAGTTTCAGTAGAAAACCAACATTGTAATGAGACTGGAAAGTGTAACATGACTTCACCCTGTCACAGGTACAACAGGTTCTTGACAGGACAAGCAGGATGGTTTACATCATCCATGAACAGGAAAGGTCAGCAGACCGAGCGAGTTCATTGTGAAGTCTGAGATAGCGAGCTAATGCGTAATGCGGGAAAAATTCCAGAACGTTCCATTCAAAGTAAGTAAATAATCCACAACTGGCCGACAGATCTGCAGCGGGCTCAGAGCGCGCGAAACGGGAGCGAAATAGGCGCCTCATGTTTTGTCGCAACCACGCTGATTTACAACAGCAACACACAACCACAAATAGTTAAACCATAAGATTCGCGAGAAGAAAATTGAGTACATCAGATTCAACGTAAAGAAAATCGGATTTCTCGAAGTCAATAAATAGTACCGCCCCATCAGACTGCTCCCACCTCAAACCTCCGAACGTCCAGGGAAATTAAGACACGCATAAAACCTACCTGAGTTACTCGTGTGTGCCAGGACATAATCAGTCCCTTGGTGAAAATGAAATAGGGCAAGAAAAGAGGTTCTTGTACTTTCTTCCGATGGTCCGATGATGGGAATTTCTAGCCGGTCCAGAAGTCTTGAAGTCGTTACAAATATTTAAAAGGAGACTGGACACCTGATCGTGATTGGCCGAAGGATTCCTCACTTCTTCTCCTTTTCGTTGAACAAAACACAGTTCGTTGCAGGACTGCCAAATTAGGTAAGGTGAAATGATACAATTTAAAAAATCAAATCATAGAAATCAGAACAGTTATTTTCAAAAACAGAAATCTCAGGATAGACTCGACTTTTGAAACAACCGTTTTGGTTTGTAAAGGTCTGTTTGCTTAACTTACATATGCACTTGCTTGTTTCCGTGTTGGCAGAAAAACCGTGCGTTTCATTTGTTTACAATTTGTCAAGTTGTCACTTGCCACGGACGCAAAGCAGCCGGCTCGTAATTTTAGGCGAAGATTTTGCGAATTCTCTTTCCTATATTCGTTTTAAAAGCCAAAGATGGCTAATTTAAGTTCAGTTCTTGCCAAATTTTATAATGAATATACTGTCCACACACCTAAAAGGCTCAAAATAATTGACGCATATCTGCTTTATGTGCTTCTCACTGGCATTATTCAGTTTGTGTATTGCTGTCTAGTCGGAACATTCCCTTTCAATTCATTCCTCAGTGGTTTCATTTCAACTGTCAGCTGCTTCGTCCTAGGAGGTAATTATATTCCATGCTATGTCATTATCTTTAAGCTACCACACTCCCACTTCGGTAACCTCAATCGATCTGTGGGACCCACCCTCTGGATACTAACTTTTATCATTTTGTGTTTACAGTGTGTTTGAGACTGCAAGTGAATCCTGAAAACAAAAGTCAATTTTACTCTGTTAGCCCTGAGAGAGCCTTTGCTGATTTCATTTTTGCCCATGTTATCCTGCATTTAGTGGTGATGAATTTTATTGGTTAAACTGAAGGTACGCACTTGGAAATGTTTTTTGTTTTATTTTAAATTATTAATCTGAGATCAAACAATTCTCTGACATAGTTTATGTGTCAGGTTGATCCATTTGAAGAATATTCATGTCAGGATATCGAAGATCTCTGAACCCTAAAAATCCGACTTCAGTGATTTTCCCTATCTGTTTTCAATTATGAGGCCCTGTTAAATGCAGTCCGCTGTATTCTTGATATCACTTTAAGTATGTTCTTTTTCTGCACTAGAGGTGATAAAGCAGTGTTACATGTTTTCCAAAAATGCAAGCTTTTCATGTATTGTAGATTATGTTTGTCTAATTATTAAGAAATTTGTATTATAACATTTCTATGAAGAGTCTCAAGCTCATGAATCTTTGAACAAATGTAAAAATGCTTTACAAAGAGGCTGCAGCATAATAATGTGAAGCTGTCCTGTTAATTAAACAAACTGAAAGCTCAAATAAATTGTTATATTTATTTAAACACAAACCTAAAATTTAAACAAATACTAAAATTAACCACTGAGAATTAAACAAACTTCATAATATTTTTAGGTGATGTGCACCAAGTAATGAGGTTTAAAAATTGTAACTCCCATTCAAGCTTAAAAACAAAACCCCATCACCAATATACTGATAAAATAGCAAGCATGATGACAATGAACGGCCTTTCTTTTACTACATTCACTTAAACTCTTACAATAGGGCAAGAAAATCAAAAAAATAAAAGGTAAAAGAAACTTTTAAACAGAAACATCAGTTTTTCCCATTATGTTGCCCCTGACTTGCGCTACTGCAAGCTGGATGATTGCACATAGACCTTTTGCAGCTTCCTCTGATGTATATGGTTTGCCAATATCGGGTATGTGGACAAATAAACTATTCTGTTTGTTGAGGCACAGAGATGTATAGTAAGTAAACTCACAAAGATACCTGTTCAACAGAGATATATTAAGCACAAACTGAATTAGTTCACAACTGAGTAATTAAAAATTATGTCAAGACGATTAAAAGTAATAATGAAAAGCAGAATACTTACAGCCCTGCATTATTAGATGTACAGAAGTTCACTCCTATTTCAAGATTGTTAAGATCTGCCACTAGTTTTTCAAGAGCCAGGTTTGTGGAAACTCTTGGTGTTTCCCCCAAGCAACATTCCTTCTGAGATGGTACTTTTCCGCGTGTATCAGGTTTTACATATCCATGTTTGGATGCACAAGTTTCCAGGGTCATTTCTGTGGCCAAAGCTGAGACCCCTACGTTGATCACTAACTAAAACAATACAACAGTTTGATTAGTTTGAAGAAGCACAAGTATAAGACACTCACACCACACAATAACTTACAATGGGTTTATGTTCTTCACATAATTTACTCATTCTTTTCACACTCTCTTCATAGTCAACAGGAATTTCCTCCACAATAAGAGTAACATCGAGATCGTCTACATCGAGCATCTCAGGCAGTAGTTTTACAGCCTGCCAACTAGCATTAATTTTGTGTGATCCAAACGGACCAAATCCAGTCACAATAATGGTCCTTTTCTCAGAGTTTATGAGAGGCATGCTGGCTGTAGTTGGTTGGCTGGTTTGACTAAATATTTTCAATTAAATCTAAAGGGGGAAAAAAAGGACATTTTATAGATGAGAGCTGTGACAGGATTGATGATTAAATTTACTCAAAATATTATTAAAAGGACAGATGGAAATAACAAGACAAAAATAAAAATCTTTAGAATAGTGAGAGCTAGTGCGTGGATAACAAAGAAATGATAAATGTAGGATATGTAACAGGTACCCGAAGACACTATTCCTGCAAGAGGACAAGTAACACTTACCTACTTTTCTTAGATGCGCGATAAAGTCGCAATGCAGTTCAAAAATTAACGTAATACTATTTACTATGATTCTGGTTGTTAAGAACCCGTGACAGTAAATTATCTCGGGTCAACGTTTAGGTTGTTCACCCAATGTTTACATTTTGACGGTGTTCTGCTACGCCTTGACCACACGCTCATAGTAGTCTCGCGACGTTCCCACTTCTCCGCAACTCCAATATGAATCCTGGTTTAGCGTGTCCCATTTCGTCTGGTTTGCTGACACAAAAATGCGAAGCTTGGCATTTCCGGTAGGTCAATGCACGCTGAAAAGTGATACGTAAGCCAATGGACCTGGTTCAGAAATTCGAAACAAATTTACAAAATTGCTGCCTCGGGATGTGTTGTCAACGACACAAAATGTAAGTACCCATTTGCCGAGAAACGAGCACCTAGATGGACTGTCGCATGCATGTCGTCTGCAATGACGTTCACGAATTTAGTAAACAGCAAGTCGAGTTTTGAAAAGTTAACGGTATACTGGAACTCAGGTCGAAAGTCCGGTTTTTAAGCAAGCTGGATAACCTACTTATGAGGCAAGCCTATCTGGCAGTCGGCCGGAGGACGGGCGCGACACCTAAGCGTTGCAATTATTGATTTTTTGGAGCTTTTCGTCAGTTGATACTGTGAGACAGCATGTGAGCCGGAATGCCTTCTGCATGTTGTGTTTATGTTGTTGGTCTCAAGTGCTGCACTTACGATCTCATGAGTGTGATGTCCTCACAACTGTGCATTAGTGGTAACTATCTTATTCCTGATACTACCTTTGACAAATATATGCCAAATACTATTTTTCTGCCAAAACTGAGCTATACTGCCTGCAAAGTTGACTGTTGGCTATCGTTTATTATTTACCACTGCTCTTTATTCCAAGATGAACATCAGTTTCGCCTTATTCCATGCTTTATGAGACCGTTGAGATTAGTTTTATTTTCACACTTATAGTTCCTGTGATTAGAGCTTAAAATGCATGTTAAAGATAACTTTATTGTAGACCCATGTGCTTGCCAGCTTCTGCGCAGTTAGAGCCCGCTTTTTGAAAAGCGAAATGACTATTGTAACTGCTTTGCAGAAGTATTGCTGCTTACATGATTGCTTTTAGATTGGATAGAAGTATGCTTGACCAGTCTCATGAAGCACTTGTTTGCAGCACCACAATACTCTGAAACTCAATGCAATACAAGCTGTATTTAGAAATTTCTACTGACTGGTACAGCTTTGTTGCTTTTTGTCAAGAGATAATTTAGGGATGTTACATGTCATGAAAAAGTCAAGGGAAAAAAATATACCATGGAAAAGTCATGGAAATCAATTACCGTTTCATGAAAAATGAGTAAATTGCAAAATTGCCAGCATGGTCAGCTGCTGCGTGGCTGTGCTGTAAAATGAGTGCCTCAACCTGGCCTCAAAAGGGGTGTAGGTAATACATATTTTCGGGGAGAAATATTTATGGAAAACCTCAATTTCGTTCTGAGAAAAGTCATGGAAATGTCAGGGCATTTGAAAATCAAAACTCTGTAACAACCCTGGAACCATTGCTTGAAGTGCCTTTAAAATGAGGGTACTGCCCTATTTTCATAAAACTGTGTTAAGTTATATTCATTCCCTCAGTTCAGAATGGACCCATTTCTGATCAAATCAAGTTCTTTGAAACAAAGATGCCAATTCTCCCTTTTCGCCCACTCGCTCTTTTTTTTTTTTTTTTTTTTTTTAACTGTGTGGGAGGCGGCTTATCTGGACCCTGCTCCCGCCCCCGTCTCCACCGCGCACCGTGCACCGCGCAGCCGCGCAGGTATGCGGGGGATGGGGGGTTATGGAGGGGGAGGGGGGTGACAGCTTAAGGCATGTTGAGACAGGTCACAGCTTGCTGTGCAGGACAAGACAGAAGGGTCATCGAGGCCGGGACAGTTCAAGCTGGGGGAGGGGGGGGAGGGGAAGAAGAAGAAAGGGATGCAGGTCAGTAGACCTAAGGTCCGGTACCGGGTGTCGGCCCTGCTGGACCCCGGAGCCCCCGTGCCGCCGGGCGGGGGCGGCAGTCGCAGGAGGCGCGGGACCGACTGGTGCCCCTATAGGACGCGGGGTAGCTAGGGGCGGGACCAGGGAGGGAGGGGGAGGGGGAGCCGCCGTCGCCACCCGCCGGGCTCAGTGATTGTCTGATTGTCTTTGCCAGTCGCCAGTCCTGGGGGTGAGGGAGGAGAGGACCAAGGACGAACAACGGTTCAGTAGGCTACTGCCAGTAGCAGTGTGCAGTGCAGTGCAGACCGGGCCAGCACGAGGCACTGCGCGCAGCTCCGAGCAGCCCGTGCGACGGTTCCGTCTCTGCCGTCCGTCTCAAAGTTCAGATTGTGGGGGGTGTTTGCGTTAGATTGCCGGTCCTATCCCCTTTGCTGGAGTTGTCTATCAGTGTTATCTCATGTGGCCAATGTGGCCAATGCCCATACCCGTACCCATGTTGCCTCCCAGCCCATCAGTTAGTTCTACTTTCTTTCAACATGTTTGTGATTTTATTTGTTTTCTTGAGTGGTGAATTTATTGTTGTGAGGAGTGAGCCTCTCTACCTAGTGTTTTTCAGTGCTAACATTTTTATGTGCTTTACTTGCAGGTGAATATGACTGGTGTGGATATGCGTGGTGGAGGAGCCCCTGGCCAAGGCCTAGGCCTGGGGCTGCCTATTGATGTGTGTGCCGAAAGTGATGGCAGACATTCTGGTGGTGAGGATATGGCTGATGATGATTACAGTGACTCAGGACTGCTTCGTTGCTCGCGTTGTGATTTTGATACCCCAAATAGAATTACGTTTGTTGCTCACTTAGCTGAGTGCAATGGTGAGAATGGTGTAGATGGTAAGTGTTTATTCAAGTTTGAAAACTAATTTAATCTATATCGCCTACTAAATATGGTTGCTATACAAACTGTACTATTTTTATCAGGTCTAAGTGGAGAAGGTGGTGATGCTTCACCTGATCGAATCAATCGTAAGTTTGAGTGTGACGTGTGTAATATGAAATTCTCTAATGGAGCCAACATGCGGCGTCATAAAATGAGACATACTGGAGTCAAGCCCTATGAATGTCGAGTATGTCAAAAAAGGTATGTTTTATTGATATATTGATTGATCTTATGCTTGGTGCATGTCCCACCTGTAGTCCTTGTTTGTTCTTATTGCATTTATTATTGTTCACAGATTCTTTCGCAAGGATCATTTGGCTGAACACTTCACCACACACACCAAAACCCTCCCTTACCACTGCCCAATTTGTAATCGAGGTTTTCAAAGGCAGATTGCAATGAGAGCTCATTTTCAGAATGAACATGTCGGCCAGCATGATATGGTAAAGTCTTGCCCTCTTTGTGCCTACCAAGCAGCATCTATGAAGAGTTTGCGAGTTCATTTTTTCAACAGGTATTAGTGGATTCTAAAATAATCAGACCTCATAGCCATAATGCTTTTCCTGCTCTTTATAAAAATATTGTTTTTTTCTTTAATTTTTTATAGACATGGCATTGATCTTGACAATCCTGGTCCGTCATTGGGAGTTGAGCCAATGCTAAACTCCAGTCAAGTGAATATTGTAAATGGTGGTCCAGGAGCAACTTTGGGGAGTGCCATTGTTGCTAGTCCAAGTGAGCCTGGGGATAGTACACCTCCCATGCACTTCCTCACACCTCACATTGAAATATCAATGGCAGACCCACCTAATGCGTTTTCACCTGGACAGGTCAGTTATTTCACTATTTCTGTGTATTTTTGTTTGTTTGTTTCTAAGAGCAAAATGTTAATATGGTATGTTTGTCTTTAGAGTGATCATGCAAATGGTGGCCCTGACTTGAATGGTGATCCAAGCTCACCCCAGTCTGTTGATTCAACTAGTTTCCCTTCTATCAATTCAAACTCAACAATTAATGTTACATTAGCACGAAGATCACCTGATCTTTTGTTGAATGGAGGAAGTATGACTGTCAATGGTTCTTCAGGGCATGTTTCACCACCAATCTCACTTCTACCTGTTAAACAAGAAGCGTCATGTGAAGTTCCACTGAGGGCTGTCAGCTGTGGAAGTGGAAGTGGAAGTGGGGAGGAGGGTGAGGAAGACAGAAGGTATGCAAATGATGCTGTCAACTTAACTACAAACCGGACCTTAGGGGAAACACTTCCACCAAACAACAACACAACAAGACTTATAAAGGTAACAACATCCTAAAAGAATGCAATAATATTTTTCTCTGGTTAATAAATCCTACTTATCATGCTTGCTTACTATTTATAGGTATCGCCCCTGAAAAGTCTCCTGCGTGATGATGGAAAACGGGCCCGTCAAATACCCTCAAGACCACCAGAACTTTTACCTGTAAATCGACCAAGTATTAATGGGCCCTCTCCGGATCCAGGACAAGCTAATATTTTGTCATCCTGTCACATGTCACCTAAACTTCAGTGTAACTTCTGTGGTATAGCTTTCCCAGACCAAACATTGTATTTTTTGCACAAGGGTTGTCACTCTGACACCAACCCTTGGAAGTGCAACATTTGCGGTGAGCAATGCTCCTCAGTTTATGACTTCAATGCTCACTTGCTCAGTAAACCTCACCAATGAGTACTCTTACTTTAGCTTTGCACTTATCATGCACGATTTTTTGTCACTCTAGACTGGCACAAGTTGGCATTTGGAATGTGTCCTAAACTTGCTGAACTAGAAAGTTTAGCGTCTATGGTTTTGTGGTGTCTATATGTCCATTTATGTGTGACCAGTGTGAAGCGCATGTTATTGTTCTTAAATTTATGGTTTCCTGTGACTAATTTATCAATTTCTAGTCAAGTAAAAGTGCATGAATAGTTTACATCATGGACGAGAGGAAGCTGAGCTTCCTTTGTCTTGTGCGCCCAAGGATACCGAGGGTGTATTCTAGTTTGAATATGTTGCATGTTACATAGTAACTAGCAAACAAATTCACCTAGAGTGAAAGTCTGATTATCCCCACTCACTTTTGCAAAGCTCTGAGTTTTGCATTAATAATATTTATCTGTTAATTAATTTTTAGTGCCTTAAGAAATTATAATTTCTTGTGAAGACTTGTCAGAATGTGAGAACATTTCTGGGTTAATACATTCCGTCCTTTATGGTTTTTTTGAAACTGTCAGAGTTTTTTTTTTTTTTTGGACTTTGTCTAACCTTTTATTTTTATTTTGATAAAAAAAATATCGAACTACGATTTGATTACTGTAAGAATATAATAGAAAAGGTCAGTGCTAATTACCCTTTCAAGTTTAGTGAATGCTAATTTATATTTTTGATCAGCCAAGTACTGCATATCAGTTTGCAGTGAGATGTATCTCTATATGTAGGTAACAACTTTTGAACTGATTTGGTTATAGTGTTAGACTTTTTTAAGTGTTCATTTACAATTTGTGTTGCTCAAGTATGAAATTGTGCCTAGTAATTCAAAGCAGTCTGTGTCAGTGCCTTTGAAACTGTTCCGTCCATATCCAAGATTGAAGATTGGTCTTGTAGTCTAAATTTAAGTTTATTTTAATATTGATCTAATCCTGTACAGGTATTTTCAGCTACGAATTGCTCACTTGATCTGGTTCCAAACTAGATGAAATTTAAATCTTAATGAAAAGTGGTTACGATTCAAGGTTAATGTTCATGTAGGACAAGGACACTAAGATTTCTTGCATGTGCACGAATTGCTCCATACACTTATGAAGAATGCTTTTTCATTCTTATGTAGCATATTTTTATGTCTGCTAAGTACTTATTGTACTTGGTGATAATTTTCATGCAAAGTTTGCTGTGTTCCTACTACTTGGTCTTCAGGTAGAACACCGCAATCATCCAATTTTACCCAGTTCATTAATAATCAGGATTACCATTTCTAAGTTTTCATGTTAAAAATAGAAACTTGAAGGAATCCAGTGGCTGTCTACAAAGAGTGCCTTTCGATTAATGGTATTAATTTATCTCCCCACTTGAATATTTTGGGGATGAGTGAAAATTATCTGTTAAAGAGAAAGTAGCCTATCATAGTCAATAAATTTAATCCAAAACACCAAGCTACTGAAAATTATTTATTCATTCTCATTGTAAAATGTGTATTGTTCTTTAGACGGAGTCTTTGCCTGATGACAGTGGTTGTGACCTATATCTGAGTAAGAATTCTAATTGTTGGCTGCAAATTGTAGTTTTAAGAGTATTCACGATTTGCTTTGAGTGGACTTCTTATGTTTTATCAGAGTGGATCGCAAATAAATTTGATCTTCTCATATCTGCATGTTCTTATTCATAACTTTATTTGTTAAGTAGATTGTTCCTCCTTTTTAAAATACCATATCTGTATTTTTGAAACCTGTACAGGTCAATAATGTCTGGCACTCACTTTCAGTAATTAATTCTGGAGAGTTTTGACTCTAACCCTGTATGTGTGTATCTGATGTCCGGTGATTATTAGGCTATAATTTTTAGAATTGTCAATAGTACATTTACTTTGAACCATAGCTGAGCTACTGTATCTAATTACTCTTTTTCAGAAGCTGTTGAAGCTTGGTATACTCTTCATATGCAAATATGTTTTGTGACTCCCCTTTCGTCCTTGTTGGGTCCATTTTCAAATGAGTGTAGGACTTGGTGCTATTGACCTCACTGGTATACAAACCTCTCCTGAAATTAGCTACTAAGTAGAACTCAGCAGGCTGTCTCCTTTTTTCTTCTGTGTTATAAGTATAGAAGCACTATTTTTTTTGTTTTGTGGTGCTATTAATGTGAATGGTGTTGTTGGTTTGCAGTTCACACGGACTTTTTGTGCTTTGAGTAGTAGAGTTTTCTTATCGTAACTCAGAACTTGTCCCAACATTCCTCCTATATCCTACAAATTCAACACCAAAGTGTACAGAGATAAAGTTGTTTTATGTTTTGCAACTTGATTAGACTAGACATTCCTTCACTATGACTTTGTTTAAGTTATTTTTGCTCAAGACATTCTTATGTCAGTTTGAATGTGGCCACATTACTGCTATTATTCCAAGTACAATGATTTTTTTTATTTGTAGTATTTATTCGATTGATATTGTGTGGAAGATTACTACTCTATAGAATGAAATAGAGACAGATCAAAATTATTTTTCCTGTCCCCACTGTTTTTTTTGTGCAAATTCTACCACGGTTCCCCATTTTTGGTTGTCAAAGGAATAATGTACTCTCAGTTCCTTCCATCTCATTTTTTTTGTGGGTTAGACTCCCCCATTTGTAAATTACACCATACTCTCCGCCTAATTGTGTTGAGCCATAGACTCTATGGCTGTTGTGAAATCTATTATGATTTCTCGCATGTTTTGCTAAAAAAATTCCTGATGTCTCTTCTATCTTGGAATTGAGAGGTAACCAAAAAGGCTTCTTATTTAGTCATTTAAGTTTTGTGTGCTAACAAGACTTAGGGTTATTAGGGCCTCTTCTTGTTGTTCTCGCATTCCCTTGCGTTAAAGTAAAGGCTTGTTTTAATTTTCACAATGCCAAATTAAAAAGCTTTCAATGAGACCTTTTAGGTATATTCTCATGCATCCTCCTATGATGGAAGTGCATTATTTAATTATTTTTGTTTGTTTGTATTATACTCAGACTATTTAATTAATTTATTTATTTAATTTGTAGTTGTTGACTATGTTTTGACTGCTTATTGCTACTTTTATGCGATGCTGTCAATGGATGTTATTTTGAATTATTTGTTTTGTTGCTTCATTTTAGTAGCTGTCACTGTGCTTCAGTTACAATCTATTAGCAGGCGTACTTCTTTTTGATTTGTTAACTTAATTCCAGATCTACTGAATTGATGAGAGACATTCCTTAAACATTTCAAAATGCACTGATGTCATTTTACTACACTTATTGTACCACTGAGTTGTGTTTGTGAGGAGCTGGATTGAGCAAGTAATACCGACTCATCCGCAGCAAGCGTTCTCTGATTTTGTTATAACCTGAGTTTTACTTTAAAGTGTTGTACTTACATGGCTCCTCTCATTGTACATGTGTACCAATTCTAGAGAAACTTATTGTACTATTACAACAGCTGATTTAAGGAGCAATAAATAATCTTTTGTGGCAGCTTTAATACAGATTCTATTAACATTTTCTACCTTTTTTTTACAAACATGTACAATTCAAGCCATGGTGCGCCAGGATACAACACTGTCCCAATTCCTGTAGCACTCACTTTGTCGGTTACTAGTTGGTCAATGTTTGCCATCTGAGGTGTCATCATTGTCGTTGCTGTCTTGCTCCCCTTCCCACTTGGACCTACAAGACCAAGAAGGAAAAATCAGTCAATCAGTGAATTGATTAACTTTTCGAATTAAGACAGCAGCATTATCAAAGAATGTTCGAACCCCGGTTTAAACGTGTAGCTGGTGATCGTGTACCTGTTGTCGGCCCTGTAGTGATGATAGGCGTCCCTCCACCTGCGGCTCGCGGCGAGCAGAGAGCGGCAGTCCTGCGTCTCTGTTGGGGTAGCGGACGCCCCCGCGGACGCCCCCGCGGACGCCCCCGCGGACGCCCCCGCGCTCCCGAATACCTCCACCGGGGTGGACTCGCCGGCCGACAGCGAGGAGCTAAGGCTGCTGCAGCTGCCGAAGCCGCCGCTGCCGCTGCCGCTGCTGCTGCTGCTGCCGCGGCGGGCCTGCGGCGCTGCGCCCTGGAGCACCTGCAGCTGTCCCCATGCCTCCTTCCTCCTGCGCGCCTTCCTGAGTGCGAGGGACAGGTTCCCGCAAACCACGCCGCCCGACGTGAGCGGGCTGGGTGCGTCCGTGTCGCCCGGGCCCGGGGCAGACGCGTCGGGCTCTGCAAGGGCATGCGGTCGAGGTGGGTCACGTATATCTATGGACGCGCACACACAGAGGGACTTCCCTACCGGTCGGCGCGGCGCTGACGGCCGTGGAGGGGCGCGCGGCCCAGGGCGAGTGCCGGCCTCGGGGGCCGTGCTGCGCGCTGTGGGGGCGGCGGGGGGTGGCGCACGACGCGGTGGCGGGCCGCGGGGTGAGCAGGGACCGGCCCCTCGCCGTCCACTGGTGGGGCATAAGACACGCTCATCAATCAGGACGGTGTCGAGGGCTCGGTCGGGATCGCCCGGGACGGCCTGAAAAAGGCTAACGCCATGGCACTGACCTGCGCGACTTCCTTCTCCGCGTTCCTCTGGGCTCTGGCCCACAGTTGCGAGGCCTCCACCGGCCCTCCTCTGCTGCTGGCGCTGCTCGTGGAGGCCGTGGACTCCTCGGTCTCCGACGCGGCCTCACCCAGCTGTTTGGCAGAGTCGGAAGAGTTGCCCTCCGCGTCCTCGGCCTCACCCTCTGCACCGTCCTCGACCTCCGCGCCGTCGGCGTCCTCCGGATCCTTCCCCTCGCTGTCGTCCCCCTCGCCAGCCTCCGTGGCGGTGTCCGTGTCATCTACGCTCAGAGGCCGGTGATGACACTCCGCCTTCGCCCACATCCCCTCACGGTATGTAGTCCATGCTCACCGTCCTGGTCGTAGCAGCCCAACGGCACGCCGTCCAGGGTGGCCAGCCCGGGCAGCATCTCGCGAATGGTGGCGCGGTAGCCGGTCCTCGTCGCGCAGGGGTTCTCAGCCAGAACCAAGTCCCTCAGCAGCGGGCACACCGTGAGGAACCCCGCGTATCGTATGTCGTTGACCCGGTTCCTGAGGGTGGTGGTCTCATTGGTAATGCGGTAGCAGAGGGCCGAATCCCCACTAAAGGCCCGACCCCCTCGACGACGACCTGGTGAAACTCACCCCCGCAGGTCGATGTGCTCGATGTTGGGCAGGCAGGCCAGGTAGCCGATGTCCTGGACGCGGTTGAAGGCAGCGTAGAGCTCGGCGAGAGAGGACAGCCCGAAGGTGCCGTCCAGCGAGTCCAGGCTGCAGCGCGTTACCCGGAGCACCCTCAGGCCGGACAGTCCGCAGCCCAGCTCCCTGCCAGGGTCAGTAGCAAAATTACAGTCAAAATATCGTAAACAGACCTAGTCCTGAGGACGTGCATGTCCCGAAGAGACCCAAACGCTGGTGGCTGCCGCCAGACTGACGCTGACCTGAGCGAGCCGATGCTGCTACCGTCCAGGTTGAGCTCGGTGAGGTTGGGCACGTACACGCACAGGCGCTGGAGGCTCATCTCCCTGCCGATGACACGCAGCTTGATGGAGCGCACGTCCGCCAGGTCCTCCGTGCCGGCCACCTGCCGCTGCAACGCCACACAACACGCCGCTAGAGTCAGCGCGCCTGAAGAGCCCGGTGGGCGGCAATACCTCGGGCGGCTACGCCCGGGAGGCGAGCCGCCCAACGTGCGCGCGCGCGCCCGGGCGGCCCGCGGCCCGGGGGCCCTGGAGGGCGTCGAGAATTGTCATGGAGTAGTCGAGAGTGGCGGAGGGAGGCAGCGCCCGAGGGCGTTTGTTCTACCTTACGTACTTCATTCCGTACCGCGGAAGGCGGTGTGACACTCACCACCGGCAGACACCTGCCTGCCTCGCTTGCCTTTCCTCACCCCTCTCTGTTTTGTGGGGGGACCCTTCCGTGTAATGCCTTTTTTTATGTGGGTGTGTGTTGTTGATTTTTTTACGGGTACCACTCCGCTGCGCCCTGCCCTATCGGGTCTCGCGATGACAGGAGCGGTACCGCGGCCCCGCTGCGCGACAGATACCGTGGCCGCTACTCAGCTCGAGGGCCTCCCATGGGCTGCCCGCTGAAGCGAACCGCCCCGCCCCGCCTCACCCCACCCCACCACGCCCCGCCCCGCCTTCATGTCGAGCCCATTCCCGCACCGTGGCGGGGCGTAGCGAATCGCACAAGGAAGCTTGTCGCGCTGGGCCCGGGCCACCTGCCCCCTGCCCTCGCCGGCCCTGCACACCGGCCCCTCGACGACAGCCCTGCTTTCTTACTACAGCACTTTAGGCTCGCCCCGCCCCGCCCCGCCCCGCCCGCCGCGCGCGCCAAGGTTCGAGTACTCGTGCAGTGCGGCACTGCGGTGTTTTCTACCCTCTCGGAACGCCCGCCCCTCTCCCCTCCCTTCTCTCCCCCGGCAGGTGGGGCCCCGCATCCTGATCAGCTGTGTGGCTTTCCTCTGACTGCTGGCGTACGGTAGCGGAGCGCAGCGCTCGGGCCCGCTAAGGACAGACCACTGTCCACCTGTCCCATGAGGAGATGAAAGGAGAAGGACCCATCCCCCTCCCCCAATCTCTCTCTCTCTCTCTTCTCCACTGCGAAAGAGACTTGTTTTAAAAGACACTCTCGTGCGAGGGCAGTTTCGAGCATGACCACCGACGCGACACGCGCCTGCTGTTGCGCTCCTCACTAAGCCCATGCAGCACATGTAGGGTGTTCAAAAGTCCTCGTACTTTATTTGGGGGGCTCTACAAGAGCTCTAATGTGCCGCATGCAGGCGTGCGAGCGGCATTGCCTACCATCGCTCACCGCCGCGCTCGCTGCCGGTGCCGGCCGAGTGAGAAGGCAACCCACGCCTGAATGCTGCACACAGTGTCAGTACGGGGCGTATGGGACCCCCTGTAATGCACACGCGAACATCCACCAGGGACAAATACCTCTTCTCCCTCGACACGGGGCAGTACAATGAGGGCCCCCTCCCGACCTCCTCCTCCTCCGAGGTCCCGCGGCCGCCCCCGCTGCCACCGCCGCCCCTGCCACCCGCGTTGCCACCCCGTTCTATTTCGATTTCAGGGCCGCTGGTCTGGGTCTGGGGCGTCTGCATGTTTATGCCCCAAAAGCTGTGATTACATACACGCTGCTGGCGGCAGCTTTAGCGGCAGCGACACGCAGTGTGGCTCTGCTCCGCTCTGCGCCGTTCTGCGCCGACTGTCGGTGCAGGCAAGGGCAGGAGCCAAGGAGCGAGCTTTAGAGCGCGAGTCATGACGTCGCGAGTTGCGGATCGCATATAGACAGCAGTCGCAGTCCATAGGCGTCCCCTGCTCGCCACCACGCTTAGCCTGCAGTTGTAGAGGCCCCCTCCCGCCTGCCCATCGTTAGCACTGTTCGTCTAGTCTCTGGGTTATAGTGGCCCTGATGCGTAACTTTAACTCTAGCCCGAAACCTGCTCATAAAATAGTAAAAAATAGCTAGTTTTTTTTTGTTTTTTTTTTTAAAAAAAAACATGCCTTCACGGGCTGTGTATCCCGGCGGCGCAGCTGCTGCTGCAATTAGCAATAAAATACTAGCAACGCGAATAACAGCGGTGCGTTTTGCAGGGGAAATAAGGAACACGGCTGCCTCCCGGTTATGACCAGCGTCGGCGGCGTAGCCGGGAGAGAAAGACGGAGACAGAGGGAGGCGGAGAAAGAGAGGGAGAGTCATAAGACATATAGAGAGGGAGAGAGAGAGGGAGAGAGAGAGGAGAGAGATAGCCCTCAGTACGTCCGCCACTGGCACCGAGAGCCCGGGCTGGTCGTAAGGATTTGAGATGACCGACTTTCTGGAACAGGTTTCTTGTGTCTAGCGATGGCCCCGTGAGTAGCTCCGCGGGGGCAACACGGCGCTGGGCGCGCGGCGAAGGGTGGGAGCGCGGGCCGGAGGGGGGCATAAGTGCAAGTGGTGTGGCATAACATGTACAGTAACACGGCGCGGCAAGCGCGATGCGCGCCGAGCGTGGCGACCGCGCGGGCCGCGGACTGGATGCGCGCCGAACGTCGCCTGCCGCGCGGGTCCTGTTCTGCCTGAAGGGCCCTGCCGTGTGTTTCATTCTAGAAGAGGTAGCGCCTACATTCGAGCCTGGAACGGTCCCAATATGAAGGGGGTGTTGCGCCCCGCTACGTTCAAATGGCAGCTCACCTCTCGAGCGAGTAGGCCACCCGCCAGCCCGCACGCGCACGATGCGGTAGAGTAACAGCATGGACGCAGGGCGAATCGCAGCCACCTGGGACTGTCAAATCAATCAGCCTGTAGAGTTTGTCTTCGGAAGTGAGAATACCAGGTGGCGTGAATCAGCCACCTGGTACACAATATCGGCCCTAAAAACCTTTTGACTAAACATAAGGAATATGTAAGTAACTTTAAGGTGGCAGCTAGCTTTTACTCTCGATAAGTACAGAGAACACAGCGCAGACCAGAAACAAAATTTCTTTGGCGCTGAGAGACCGAGTGAGTGGCTGTCTCGCTAGGCGCAAGCGCTATAGGCCCCTCCCGAACAATACTGCGCCAGGGTCCCTGCCCAACAATACTGGCGCCGGGCGCCGCCGCCGGCGCCGGCCCCCTGCCCGCCCGCGCCTCTTGTCTCCTCCTCTTCGCCGCTAATACGCCGAATTACAAGCCAAGTAACAAGAAGCCATAAACAAATGACAGCTATATATGAGAGAAAATGAGAAAACAGGCCTATTGTTATTAAATTTTTATCATCTGCTTTCAAGATCGATTCTCGGTTAAGCTCTTTTGTGTGTGAAAAATGTGCCGACTGCTCGATTACCAAAAATTTATTATCGTTTTACTGGCATGTAAAACCTTTTTAAGAGGGGGAAACATCTTTGTGTCATCATGACAAATATTTTTTTACCGTGTGAACATCGACTTGTTGTTAAATAGCGTCAGCACCATCCATCACTTGAACGTTGAACGTCCACTGAACGGCAACACTACTTCAATGAGCCAAGCATAATACTTGAGTATTAAGTGATAGCGCTTATCGGAGGGGGAAATACACTGTACGTGGGAAAATAGGAGCCAGAGCGGATATGTGTCACGACCCGTCTGCAGTTGCGGGCGTATGGCCGTAATGCGAGGAATACGATCCAGTTTGTGATTCCGCTTAAAATCTCCGGCAATGTTCCCGGAATATCGGATATGGAGTTTGGGCCTGGAACCTACTCTAGCCCGCCGAGCCGAGCCCAGCCCGGCCGGCGGCACCGGTTGTGGCTCCTTCTCCCTCTCTTCTCTCGGTGTTTTTCGCGTATAATGGTGCCTCGCTAGCGTGTCGGCTCCGCCTTCCTCCCGAGCCCGGCACTGTCATCAAGCGCTACTTTGTTGGGGGTCCGTTTATAGTGAGAGTGAGAGAGAGAGCCGGAGACACGTGCAGCAGACTGCGGCTGACACTTGTCGGGGCCCAGGGCCCATGCAAACCATCCTGCTCGTCCTGCTGCTCCTCCCCCTCCTGGCCCTGCTGCTGCTCGAAGCCCACCACGCCCAGTCTCCCGACATTCCGACACGAAAGTGCCGATGCGCCGCCGCCTGGCCTACGGCGGGCCTAGGCCCCGGAGGCCCCGGAGGCCCCGGAGGCCCCGGAGGCCCCGGAGGCGCCGGGTCGCCGCTACGGGTCACTAAGGCTTGCGGCCGCACACCGTTAAAAACAAAGCTCAGCTCGCACCTCCGCGAGCAGCCGCGAGCAGGCCGCGGGCCGCGGGCGGGCGGACACAGGTGCTCCGAGGCGTTGTGAGGGACGGTCAGGGGGACGGTCCCCATCGCTCCGCCGGCCAGGCATAACACTCAATTGCACAATATTCACACTGTGAACCCAAGTGTGTACATAGTACTCCTTGTGTGTACTTGGGAGTACACACAAGAAAGTGTGTGCTGGCATGACACACACTAGGAAGTGTGTACATGCGTTGCACACACTTCTTGGAGAGTACGCGCCATATAGCGTAGCTACATAGCCGGACATGGCAAGTACACACTTCCTAGTGTGTGCCATGCCAGGCACACACTTCCCTGTTTGTGCTTCCAAGTACTGTACACACAAGGAAGATTGTACTATGTACACACCTGGGTTTACCGAGGTTTACAGTGTAGGGTCCCTACCGGAAAACCCAGTGTGTAAGTGTCGCACTGTTGTAGGTGTGTGAACGCCATTTGCACACATGGAGGCAGTGTGAATGTTTAAAATATTTTAAAAATTACACCTTTTCTTCTGCAAGTGTACGAATGGGCATTCACACACCCCTACACATGTGCTACATTGACACACTTGCGTTTCCAAGTGTGTATTACAGTGCATATACGGCGACCGTGTACGCAGCAGAAGTCAGCGCCGCGGCTGACCAGGCTGTCCAGTGCTGCTCTAGTGCTCGGGGCTGGCTAGCGCCGCGGCCACATCGACATCGACTCGCTGAAATCTAATATGGTAATGTATTCGACTACGTCGCTCTGGCCAGCCCGCCTTTCGAGGAACACTGCCAGCAAAGAGTGTTGGAGAGAGGCTGAAAGCTGCCCCTCACAAACCTCGGGCGAGCCAGGGCGAGCTCCAAAAGAAGGGGAGGGTGGGGTGCAAGGTGGTGCGGATGCTTTCTTCATCATAAACTTACAATGCCCTGGTAAATAGGGTTACAGGACGATGTCAAAAAGTGACGAAGTAATTTAGGTGATCAAATACGCATCACCTATAAAGAGAATCAGCTACGCACTTTTCCGCGGGCAGGTTTCGTGAGCTGATTTAGCTAGCAAGGCTCAGTGATGGTAGGCCAGCCCTCCCTCGCGCCCCTCTTGCCGTAAGCATCGGTACCGTGAACGTGCGGCAGGGCGACCCACCCGTACCCGCATCGCGTGCAATATAGATTTCCAGCAAATATACGTACAGTCATTGTTCCTAAATTCGGACTTGCGCCCTAAATTCGGACATTGTGCCATATTTCACTATTGTTGCCTCCAAATCCATAATGCGTTGACAAAATTTAACTTCTATGGGTTTGATGGAAAGGTAAGACCACCAAGTTTCCATCTCTGCCAAAAAAATGAATGTGTGAGTGATATTGCTTCCTCCAGAAATTCCTGAAATTTGTATTTTTAGCCCCCCAAAACAGGCGTTTTTAAATGTGTCTTGCAAGAATTTGGGGCTCCGAACAGTGTAAGCCCGGGTTGTTCTGACCACAACATATGTGAAACTTGGTACTTTTTATCTACAATATGACACCAAGTTTTTGATTTTTCGTCGCACGGTTTAGTTTTGGGAACCGTTTTTGCAATGCGCCCTAAATTCGGACATAGGCATTTACATGCAAAGGTGACTACTGTCCGAATTTATGGAACGTTAAAAGCGATCTTTAAGCAGTTCTGGCGATTAAACAGTACCAGATAAGAAAATTTGGACGGTAGGGTAAGGTCAAATTTTTTCATGAATTTTCTCTACCCCCCAAAAAATTTTCACTTTTCATAATTTTTCAACGGTGTCCGAATTTAGGACGCATTGGTTCCTAAATACGGACACGATTCAAACAGCCCTCACCCCCATACCGTTAGCGCGAAAAAATATTTTCGGAGAGTGGTAGGTGCGTCTCGACGTGAGGATTCTAGAATCCCCAGCGATTTTTCAGATTTCAAAAATTCTAGATGTCACAGGCGTTTTTCCTCAAAAACCGTCCGAATTTAGGGACAATGACTGTATCAGAAAAAGTACCCGCAGTTCTAAAGATCATCGACAAAAACATCGTTAAAATCACATTTAGAGCGGCGTGACCATAACATGGCCATGGCCAGCCAGCGGCGCGGAGCCGAGTCCAGCTCCTGGTTTGTGCGCGGACCCGCCCTCTTGGCACCGCTTTGACAAGTGACCGGGCCGGGCGGATAGAAAGCGCTGCAGCCACGGCAGGCTCGGCAGGCCTACGAAGAGGGAAGGACACGTCGCCGCGTCTCCTCCCGCCCCCTCTCCGCCCCTGGTCGCGAGCTGCCCGCGCGCCGCTTTGGCGCGAGACGCAAGGACAAGGGAGCTCTCACTTTACAGTACAGCACCATCGAGAGGCCTTCGCGTTGTTATTGTGGCTGCTGTTGTATTTAAATGACGGAGGGCGGCGGATATTCAGCGACGCGGTGGTCTGTCTCAGCCCGTTAGGCCCCTGGCGCCGCCGTCGCGCCATCGTCAGTCAGTCAGCTGCGCGTGTGGGCGGCACTGGCAGCGGGCGTGGCGGGGCGTGGCGGGACAGGGCGTCAACCGTCTCCATCAAGACGATGAACCTACACGACCGCCTGGCCCTCCCCACTCTTCCCCCGCGCATACGATCCGCGCGCGAATTTCGGCTACTCCGCGCTGCGCGCGCCCGCGTGGGCACTGTAAAAATAAGCGACACGTCCAAACATATTGTAGCGTGCCGCTTCGACGTGTGAAACGGGTGAAACGTAGGCGGAGGCGCGACACCGGGTGTCCGATGTCCGTCGAAGGTACTCTTTGCCCCCCCCCCTTCTTTTCTTCCCGCTGACACGAAGGCAAAGATTCAGCAAAACGTGCCGCCGCGGCGAAGCGAGTCGCGCGAGCAAACCCGTGCCGATGTGCCACACTGTGAGAAACACGGCGGGAGTAACAGGCGAATGGCGTGGACTGCGACACTCCTGCTGCTCCGCCATTACACTAAATGACTTATTTGATGGACCTGACGCCATCACGGCAATCATCCTCCGACTTGGCGGCTATGGTTTTACGGCAGTGTATACGTCGTCGCAGCAGAGGCGATACAGCACGGCGGGGACGCCGCCCTGTTCGCCACCGGAAACCTGTCAGCGCGACTGCCGGGGGGCGGCCGGGGGGCGGCAGGGGCGGAGGGGGCCCGGCAAGCGCTGGAACCGGAAACAGAGCTGGCCCGGCGCGCCTGTACCATCACCCGCGTCGCGTCCTGCACTCAGCAGGATCTGTGCGTCAGCGCGTCAGCAGCACTGTCCGGCGAGCACATGCACGGCACCACCCCGCCCCGCCCTCCGCACGTCTATGCACGCGCTGCAGCAGCGCTGCTGCACGCCCGCGACCAGTCCAGGCTAGTCCAGGCCCGCGGGTCAGCGCGTGCACCGACATTTTCTATTTATAAATTTTTGCGAATGGATGTGTTGTATGTCTTTTGATGGTGCAGTATTATGGGGTGTAGGCGGTTGGCTAAAAGTTGCCTGAATTACTTTGGGTCCCCCGGATTAACGGGAATCTTTACCGTTTGCCTATTTGTACATTATTATTTTTTTGTAGTAACCCTT